TGAGCCCAGGAGTTGGAGGTTGCTGTGAGCAGTGAAGCCATGGCACTCTACCTAGGGGAACAGCTTGAGGCTCTGTCTCAAAAAAAAATGGTTAAAAAATAGTTAAAGTAGTTTTCCACAGAGAATTTAGCTTTAAATCTATATCCTCCTACCACAGCAGTGAACTAGTGCTATAGAACAGACATTTTTTTTTTTTAATATATTGACGGCCCAGGTGTTTTTGAATCTTTTCTTTTTTTTTTTTTTTTTGAGACTGAGTCTCACTTTGTCACCCTGCGATAGAGTGCCTTCATGTCAAAGCTCACAGCAACTTCAAACTCTTGGGCTTGAGCAATCCTCTTGCTTCAGCCTCCTGAGTAGCTGGGACTATAGGCACCTGCCACAATGCCCCGCTAGGTTTTCTGTTTTTAATAGAGATGGGGACTCACTCTTGCTCAGAGCTGGTCTCGAACTTGTGAGCTCAAGTAAATCCACTGCCTCAGCCCCTCAGAGTGCTAGGATTACAGGGTAAGCCACCACGCCTGTTCTGAATCTTGGCCTGAAAGCCTATGTTCACACTAAGACATAAAAATTTGAGAAACTGGCTTGGCACCTGTGGCTCAAGCAGCTAAGGTGCCAGTCACATACACCTAAGGTGACGGGTTCAAATCCAGCCTGGGCCCACCAAACAACAATGATGGCTGCAACCAAAAAATAGCCGGACATTGTGACAGGCGCCTGTGGTCCCAGCTACTTGGGAGGCTGAAGCAGGAGACTTGCTTGAGCCCAGGAGTTGGAGGTTGCTGTGAGCTGTGATGCCATAGCATTGTACCCAGGGGGGCAGCTTGAGGCTCTGTCTCAAAAAAAAAAAAAAAAAAGATTTGAGAAACTATTTGATGTTTTGCATCCATCTTAGGTATATCATTTGGCGAGTGCACGCTTACGTGATCTATGTTTAAAACTGGATGTTTCAAATGAGTTACGAAGGAAGATATGGACGTGCTTTGAATTCACTTTAGTTCATTGTCCTGATCTAATGAAAGACAGGCACTTGGATCAGCTCCTCCTCTGTGCCTTTTATATCATGGCAAAGGTAATGTATAAGTTGGGCAGAGGTCTTTGCTCTAGTTGCCTGTATTTGATGCAGAAGGTAATAATCTGTTGAACTTGATCCTTAGCTTTCCTTTAGTACTACAAGACAATAGCACCCACTATTACTAATTAGTAAATTCAAGCTACTATATCTGTTCTCTGAAATGGCCAGTTACTTATACAATCATCAGCTTTCCCATTTCATAAGAATACATTGGTTGTGATCAGACTCAGCCACGGGGCAGCTGGTCAAGAACAGAGGAAGAGATAACATCAAGATGCCCAAGAGTGAGGAAACTGTACTCCAAAATGATCCAAATGAAGCAAAGTGTGGAGCACATAATTCTGAAACATCAGGGAAGAACGAAGAAGAGGAAAACTTCTGTTTAGATAACTGCTCTCCTCATCTAATGGAAACAATTAAGGAAGTTTCCAGGATGAGCATTGCTCATGAAATCATGGTAAACCAAGATTTCTACATGGGAGAGAATGTTTTACCTCCAAACAGTATGGAAGACAAGTTCATGGAGACATTGTACAATGTTTTCTGGAACCATCTAAGAGAACAACTCTTGAGCAATCCTCCCCAATTCACTTATGCTCTTGAACTTATGACAAAAGTTAAGGAGATTTTGCTATCACTGCTATTACCACGCCACATCTGCCTAAAAAATGAGATTAAAGAAGTTCTCGACATGGATCTCCTCAAGCAAGAAGCAGAACATGGAGCCCTAGATGTCTCTCATCTCTCTAACTACATTCTTAGTTTGATGACCCTGCTATGTGCACCAGTTCGAGATGAAGAAGTAAAGAAACTACATAGCATAACAGATCCAGTACAGTTACTGAGGGGCATCTTCCATGTTCTGGGCCTAATGAAAATGGACATGG